TCTTGGGTTCAAGGCCAGCCTGAACTACATAGCTAGACCCCATCTCTAAACAAATAAGCAAAACGGTTGATTATTCCCAACTACTTTTTCATGATTATTCTTTAGCTGTGGGTCATAGAATACTTTGTGATATCTGAGAGATTTTTTCTTAACATTTTCAACTGGTTTACTGTAACTTTTGAGAATTTAAGACTTTTATGTTTTAGTGACCAATCCCGAACTTCTAATCTCTTTTTAATTATTATTTTTATTTTCTGTGTATGAGTTTATTGTCTGCATGTGTGTAAGTGCACCCATGTCCTGCAGTGCCTGCAGAGGTCAGAAGAGGGCACTGGATTCTCCTGGAACTAGAGTTACAGACAGTTGTTAGCTGCCATGTGGGTGCTGGGAATCAAACCCAGGTTCTCTGCAGGAACAACCAGTGCTCTTAACCGCTGAGCCACCGCTCCAGTCCTGGACTTCTGATCTCTTCCTCCACATTCTTTCCTGTGTCTCCTCTGTCTCCATACTTCTTCCCTCCTTTCTCTCCACCTCTGGTACTGGGGATTGAACTCAGGGCCTTGCTCATGCTAGGCAAACTCCTTTTAATTTTATTTCGAGACAGAGTTGCACCAAATTACCAAAGCTGGCGTGGACCTTGTGATCCTGTCTCACCTCCTGAGCATCTGGGAGTCCATGTGTGCCATCACAATCAGTTCCCCTCCTCAGGGCACTAGCTATTGGATTTGGGGCCCACGTTAATCCAGAATTATAGAATTATAGAATTATTAAAATTATAGAATTATAGAATCATCTGTAAAGACTCTACTCCCAAACAAGGTACAGATAAAGAGGGTCAGATTTTTTTTTTTTGTCTTTTTTTTTTTTTTTTTTTGAGATAGGGTCTCCTTGTAGCCCCAGCTGTCCTGGAACTCACTATGTAGACCAGGCTGGCCTCGAACTCACAAAGATCCGCCTGCCTCTGCCTCTCAAGTGCTAGGATTAAAGGCGTGTGCCACCACGCCTGGCTAGAGGGTCAGATTTTAACACACACACACACACACAGTCAGCCCACAACAGTTCCAAAAATAAAATGAAAATGTGCCAAAAATCAATTTGTGCTACCTACCAATTTTCCAACTTCCTGGCTTCACCCAATGATATGAAGATGCCAAATCAGTGTTAGAGCACTGTTTATAGATATGTAGGTATGTACAAAAAATTTATTGGTACAAACCCTGGTATTTACTGGGTTCCTACTCTGTGTCAGGGCTTTTCTGGAGACACTGGGATTAGAAGACAAGGTTCCAGCTCTGCTGGAGCTCAACCTGGATGGGTTTCATGAATGGTCACAGTTACAGCCTTGGATTAATAAAGCAAGTCTTAGGAGGAGGAAGCAGGGAGGGG